AACGTTGTTGAATTTTAAGTGAATTGTGATAGAGTTTATGTGAATGTTTTTTAGACTCGGTGAGAGTAAGTTTTGTGAATTTGAAAATTGTTTTCATGAGTTTTTGTTAACTTTTAATGCTTACTTTGAGTTCATGTATATGCAAAGCTTGAATAACATTTTTACTTCATGGCATGTGCAAAGTTTGAATGTTTTGTTTGATGTGGAATGAGTTAGAATTGGAAGTTTGTTTGAATGGAAGTAGTGAGTTTGTTTGAATGGAAGTGGTGAGTTTGTTTCAAGTGGTGAGTTATGAAGTGTTTTTGGATAACGTTGTTGAATTTTAAGTGTATTGTGTAGAGTTTGTGTGCATGTTTTTTAGACTTAGTGAGAGTAAGTTTTGTAAATTTGAAAGTTGTTTTTAATGAGTTAACTTTTAATGCTTACTTGAGTTCATGCCTATGAAGTGAGAATAACATTTTTAGTTCATGGCATGTGCAATTAGTTTGTTATGTGGAATATGAGTTAGAATTGGAAGTTTGTTTGAAAAGAAGTGGTGAGTTAACTTGTGGAACTATTTGTTAACATAAGTTTATTTGTTATTTATTTTTTCAGGTTCGTCCGATTTCTGTATCGAAAGCTTCTGAAAAGTTGATTATCTAATCTCGTGAAGAATTTGATGATATGGGAAATTTTCATATGTTTAGGTTTTTTATTTGAGACTTCTTAGAATTTGTTTAATTTTTGTTTGTATGAACTTCTTGTATTTTTTGTAAAACTAAATTTTACTTAATATTATAAGTTTTATATTAAATTCAATGTATGGCAAGGTTTATTCATGAAAAAAAAATAAAAAAATAAAAAACCCTTCGGAGACGAAACCAGATTTGGTCCCCGAAGATACCTTCGGAGACGAAACCAGATTTGGTCACCGAAGATACCTTCGGCGACCAAATCTGTTTTCGTCTCCGAAGGTTATGACCTTCGGCGACCAAATTCATTTTCATCTCTGAAGGTTTATAACCTTCGGCGACCCAATCTATTTTCGTCGTCGAAGCTACCTTCGACGACGAAAAATATAAATCGTCGTCGAAACCCTCTGGCGACCGGGTAACGGCGACGATTTAGGCGACGACTTTGTTTCGTCGCCAAAGACCTTCGGGGACGAAATTTGACCTTTTAGCGACGAAAATTGTCATCGCCAAAACTCCAAATTCTTGTAGTGATGTACCAATTCATCATGTAAATGTTTTGGAATTACTTTATACTTTAAAATAAATATTTTATAATTAATTTTGTTACCATTTTTGTTTTAAAAGTTTACGTTGGATTAGAATTTTTAATTTAATACTTATAAATAATTTAATTACTTATGAGTTCATGAATGGATTAGTTCGTCATTAATTTCAATGTATGATCGAATATATTAGAAATATCATGTGCATATCACGTGTTTAAAGACTAGTTAGCTAAAAGTACAATTTGATGAAATTATAAGTATATGGTAAAAATTAATACAACTTACT